TGCATCCTTATTAAACAAAACAAACATCTAATTGTTCCTAAAATTAAAATTCCAACGATTGATCGATGAAATGACTATCTAGAAAGAAGTGTTTCTCCTGAGACAATAAGTTCACGTATTTATCGTGTTACACAAAGAGACTCCGGTCGCTGTTGTCGCTCAAAGAGGTCCATTAAGACTCCATTAGAGGCGTCGCGCAGGAAGTCCTTCGTATTAAGGAAGTTACGTCACCGTTCCACGTGTAAAATGTTGATCGAATACGGGGGTTATCGTGACCCGAATATTTTCAGATATCCTCCGTCGTCGATCGAAGTCGTTCGCTTTCGAAAACGACCCAGTCCATTCGAAAATATATGGTTAGAGTTCCCCGTAGAAGATCGCGTAAATGTCTGCCTTGTTTATGAACATAAATATCCTTTGGTAAAATGAGTATACCGAGGCAAAATTAAAAAAAGAAATGTGGAAGAAAAATTAAAGTCTCGGATCAAATTTCTGCATGTAATAATATGAAATACAAAATTCAATTAAAATTGATGCTCTCTCCATGGTTAATTATATTTATTCGAAACGTGCAACAGTTTATTTTCCTTTAAATTCACATGATTTCAAAAATTCCTGAAAATTTAATTATTTCAAATCCACAACATACGATGAACAGTTTAATTATTAATTTTCCTCCGCGTGTATAACATACGATTCATTTGACGTGGGAAAGTTTCATCTGATCGTAACAGAAATATATATTGTACAATTTTATTCTCGAAAGCGTATCGTAAGCTTTGCAACAAACAAAGCAGTGCGAATGAAATTTTACTGTACGGTCATTCGTATCATTTATTGCCAGCGATTTATCAGGATCAATTCAACAAAAAGCAGGTACCGTTGGAAATCTACAATACCTTGAACAAGTTACAAAGCAGTGGCCACAGGCGAGTGAAAATAAATTTCAATTTACGTGGAAACATTCGTATTCATCTCGAATATGATCGCAAAGTCGAAATTAAACTGTGCTTGAATGTAATCATTTGTTTGATTCAGCCTGTACAGGGTTTTCATAAGCTCGGGCATTCGTTTCAAAGATCCCACACGGAAAATTCACACGGTTCCAGAATTTATTTATTTTTTTCTCTTTCTCTCTACTCACAATTTGTAGCATTCTACCAGAGACGTTTAATCGAGTTTCGCAAAGCAACTGGAAGTTTCGTGCAAGCTTAACGCGGTAAAAAATCGAATTAGGCGATTATTCAGGCGCCGTTGCCTAATTTGCATTTCACAGACCACATTTCCATAACTATAAGAATATCAAGGAGAGTGTAAACCACATTAAAAAGGCGTAACAAAAATACGCCAGCAATATTTATTCATTTCATGGTACGTGACGCGTTTACGTGACTCGTAAGCGTTTCCATTTTATTATGCATTTCTGCAATGAAAAAAGGATATAAAATTTCAATTGGTACACCAGCTGAATGATTCCGTTTCTATTGAAATTTTAGTTACAATGGGTGTTTAATAATTAAAAGAAAGTAATTTAAATTTATGGAATTGCAGAATTTATATTGCTGTGAAAAGAAAATGTGATTCAATGGTGACTTTTAGTTATTACATCGTGAAATTATTATACTATTCAATTTTTAAGATATTAAGTATTTTAATGAGGTAAAATTTCAAAAAATGGAGAGAATTAAAACAAATATAAGAAAATTAACCATACTAGTATTTTCACATAAAATAATAATAATAATTCAAGTATACACAGCCCCAACTACGTAAACGACAGAATAGAGCTTAATATCCCTAGACAATCCCTAGGCAGACTTTAGATTTCCGCGTCTCGTCGAAGAATTTCCCCAGGGACTAATGCTACAATTACTTACTTTACGTTCGTCTCGTTAAGAAACTTCAGAACTGCGTGAAATTTTGCGCGGAACAAATAAGAAAATTGGCACGACACTTGCAGCCTATCAACTAAATTTGTCATCGATTATCACACTAGTTGGTATATTTAACTAATAAACATCCTCCGTCAGAAAGTTTCTAAAGAAAACATCGCGCGACTCGCAACGGTAATTAAGAGGATCGCTAACTAGAAGCACCGAAAGTTACACTGTCGAGGATCGTTAACGAAATTACCTAATTCGCTGCAATCTCTCCCAAAGGTGATACACCCGACGATAATCAATGCAATTGATGACCCAAAGAACACCCTTGGGTAATATACTTTGAATTACATCTCAGTAGACAGCCTGATTTATCCTACAATTGGATCATTCTTACTCTTATGAAGTTCGTAACTTTAATTTCTGATTGTAAATCTTCTGTAATTGAGTTTTGTCATAAAATGAATTGAAAGGATGAGAGTTAGGAATTAGTTGAACTTTAGAAATAAATTAAGAGTAATCAGAAAGTTAATGAGCAATTATAGTCAAAGATTTAAAAGTGTTAACAGAAACTATCTCGTAGAATCTTTATTTGGAAACTGTTACACATATTGGAAGACGTTCGAAAGATTCGTTTACATGCAAATTCTAAGGTAGAACCATTTGACTTCGTTGAATCGAAGTCAAAGTGGAGACCGGCAAACTGAAGAGACCTCTGATTTAGACAGCAACTCCAGAATCAATTTGCGTTGAATAATTCGCGATAGTTAAATCGGATACGTTCGAGGCGTGTTCGAGGAGTATGGATGCAGTGGCCGGAAGTAGCTGGCCGGAAATCGGCATGCGGATTAGACGCTTCGTCGACCGATAAGACGTCCACCTCCGCCTGTGACTGATCTCGTTTCCTGGTTTCCTTATGAATGGGAACACCTCCCATGTCTAGAGATGAATGCGTGTCTGTAAACGACGACATTCAACGAGGATCTATGGGTCCATTCAAGTGAATTCAACAAAGTTGTCGAGGCTTTGGAATCTGTCAAGTGGCACCATGCTTCCGGTTGATTCGCGTTGTTTCTAATATTCACTTTGTATATCTTGGTAAATAAGACCTCCTCAGTCTTATAGCGACTGCAGAGGGGTGCGGAACGATCTATGAAACATACTTGTAATTTTCTTTTGGAATTTATTTAATTTACTTAATTTATTTTTTCCCTTATTAAATAAGCTCGTCAAAGAGGAATTAAATTTATGATTTTATCCCACTTCTGGGCCCCTGCTGTCCATCCCTTTTATTTATTATTTATCCTTCCTTATAAGTCCCGCTTTACTTTTTCCAGTTATTTATTGTTTTATCCCTTCCTATGGGCTATGGGCTATTGGCCTTCTTTATGGGCCAAACCCACGCTTCTTAATTATTTATTATCCTACTTCTCTTTATAGACCAAGGCAGATATTTACTTCTTCATTCTTTTTATTTTCCCTTGTTTCCCAGTATCTTTATATAACTGTATCCCTCACTGCCTTCCTTACATCTCTGCATCCCTTACATCCTTGCATGCTTTACAATTCTTCATCCCTTACATTCCTGCACCCTTTACATCTCTACATCCCTTCTATCTCTACATCCCTTCCATCTCTACATCCCTTCCATCTCTACATCCCTTCCATGCCTACATCCTTTACATCCCTGCAACCCTTACAATAAATATAATAAATATAATAATATTTGCTGGTTCGAGCAAAGGTAAGTAAAGGTAAGTAAAGGTAAGTAAATTATCTTTTTCAATTCAAATTTAGTTCCCTTTTTCGCCACCAGAGGGCGCTGATTCGACGTTGAAAATTTAGTTCACATTTTTGCCGCTAGAGGGCCAAAATCTTTGCGTGATTTAGTTCCTTTTTCCGAAACCAGATGGCGCTGATTCGAGGTCGAAAATTTAGTTCACATTCTTGCCGCTAGAGGGCCAAAATTAGTGCATGATTTAGTTCCTTTTTCTGAAACCAGATGGCGCTGATTCGAGGTCGAAAATTTAGTTCGCATTTTTGCCGCTAGAGGGCCAAAATTAGTGCGTGGTTTAGTTCCTTTTTCTGAAACCAGATGGCGCTGGTTCGAGGTCGAAAATTTAGTTCGCATTTTTGCCGCTAGAGGGCCAAAATTTGTGCGTGGTTTAGTTATTTTTTTTGTCCCCAGAGGGCGCAAGGATGCAGAGATATAAAAAATTCAGGGATGTAAGAGATGCTGAGATGTAATGGATGCAGGGATATAAAGGATTCAGGGATGTGAGGGATGCGGTGATGTAAAGGATGCAGGGATGTAAAGAATTTAGGGATGAAAGGAATACAGGGACGTAAGGGATGCAGAGATGTAAAGGATGCAGGGATGTAAAGAATTTAGGGATGAAAAGAATATAGGGACGTAAGAGATGCAGAGATGTAAAGGATGCAGGGATGTAAGATATGCAGACATCTAAGGGATGCAGGGATGTAAGAAATACAGTCATATAGGGTTGGGCCTCGTGATGTCCTCAAATAGGGGTAAAATAATAAATAAAAGGTTAAAATAATAAGCACACAGGAGTAATATAATCCACACGTTCATCCCTTTAATAAGTTTATTCAATAAGCTAAGAAGATAAATACATGAAATTAAATAAACACACAAAATAAAATAATTGTATAGGTATGTTTAACAGGTACATCCGCACTCCTCGGCGGTCGCTATAAGACTGAGAGTCGTACCCGGTACCAGCTTCTCCTCGAGCAACGTGCTAAGACGACTGGAGCCCTTACTCTCGACACCAGGGGTCCTGACAGCCCCAGTGGTTCTAGTGATAAAGCCTTTCAAGTTTGGAGAAGGACTGAATCAACCTCCTCTGGCTGCTGCTCTAATTGCTGTAATATGACAAGGCTGAGCTCGAGACACTGACTGTCAATGAGAAATGAAGAAAGTTAATTTTTTGATATAGTACTGTATTTTGTAAATTTAATAAAATTAATTTAATAAAATTAAAACATAGAGGTTTCTTAATTCTTCAATGATTTTAATTTCCCATACTTTAAGTATAGATTTTAACATTTACATATTTTATAATATTGTTATTTTAACAGTAAAATAACACGGGATAATCTTTTTATCAGTTTATTGATACTTTGTGTTACAAGATAAGGCTAGCAGCAAGACTTTGATCGTGCGTGTGCATTTGAGTATGCATCATACGTTGATACAAGATACGTGTCGTGGGTGTCAGAGTTACATACATGATTGCAAGAATGATACATAATGCATCGAAAGAAAAGGGGCGAGAGAAAATGATTACATTGCCATTTCTCTAATTAGCCAGCGATTTTTTTTTTCTCCGCACTTTATTCCATCTATTGTTATCAGTAGAACAAAAAACTCGAGGAGCCGCTCGTTATAATTCCTGACTTCTTTTTTTTTCTTTTTAATTATCATATACGATTAGCATTCGCTCTCATTCATTCATCAATCTTGCAGAATTGCATTGGCAAGGTTTACAATCACACGATCATTCGTTCTCTACTACATGTACAATTCACGACGGACTATCGCAAACGACAGCGAAGACAATATGTACAGACTGGTTTCGTTGCTAATTATTAATTAGAACAACGTCTCGTTAGTACCTTAGCGAATATCGCGGTGGAACGAGCGGAGATGAAAACGTAAGGGAACATGATCTTCCAAGTGTTCAATTAGTGTTAAACTGTAAATTAGACTCAAATTGTGTGAACTCGATGTGAGACAAGAACAGGATCATGTAAGTATATACTTCTGAAAATGATATTGATACAAAATTATAAATTTTAATTAAATCAAAATTAAATTAATTTAATTAGTATGAAAAAGGCGATTGAAATTATTATTTTAATCCACACATTTTTAACAATTTATTTCATTTTCTTATACATATATATTTTATGTTTGATTGATTACCTCTGACATAAAAAAACTAAAAGTTATGGTTGTAAAATTATAAATTTAATTAAAGTTTATGTGAAGATATTTTTTTAAAAATAGAAAAATCATCTCTGATCATTCCACTCGCATTTGGAAGAGAAAATTTCATCAAATTGTTTACTAGGTGATATTACTTTGAAATTGTATAAAATTTTTATACACTCTAACCAATTCTGTAATTACAAATCAATCGTTTTGATAAATTTAATTCTTCCAATATTAAAATTTTGACGAACACCATAAATAAAATTGACTTAAATAATAATTATTAAAAACGTCACAAAATAATCCACATTTCCTAGAAAATCGCATCTAACCGGAGACCTGATTTTTCCAATTCAATAAAATCTTCTCTTCGAGCATGTACGATCTACCATTAAAACAAATGTCGCAATATATTAATATTACCGGCAAATTTTGTAGATAACGCGTTTCCGCGAACCTCTTTGGCTATCCCAAAGACGTCTACACGTACGAAAAGCGACAGAAATGACCCGTATATCGCATTCTCTTCCACTCATTCTCGAAACGTTCTCTCGACTGCAGAAAATATTCTATACGACCATTGCAGAGAAAAATCTTGGTGAACCGTTCCTCGAATGACCGCCCACAGCTATTCTCGGATAAAATAATGTGCCGGGAAAAGATCTGACGACCTCTGGGCCAACTATCATCGTCGAAAGATTCGTTTAACCCTTACATTGCTATCGGTGTCTAAAAGTGCTCCAGAAATTCTCTGGTGTGATATAGACGTCTATAAACGTCCAATTGTGCTGATGTTACGAGTTACTTCTATTTTTATTCTTGATAGAGAATAATTCTTATCATTATTCGCTAAAGAATGATTATTGTTAAGAGAAGTAGTTGAAGTCTATTGCAATGAAAGGGTTAAAGGGTTGGACGTTAAAAATCATTTGGTTATGCTTAAGTAGATATACATTTGGATGACATCAAATTTTTGATGATTTAGTACTAAATCTTAACTTTAATTTTATATTAATACTAGAACAACCACATTTGCATAAATAAGGATTTTTAATCTCAACAAATATTAGATAAATTTAATTTTTAAAGGAACAGTGTAAAATTTAAAAAGTGAAGATAACATGAGATATGAAATGAAATTAAAATTGGGGCTCTCTCCATGGTCCGCCAACCGAAAATCGTAGAATCCCAATTGGAAATATTCGTAATATGTAGGAAAATATGGACCGTGAAAATGTATTAAGAATAAAAATATTATCTGGAATAATTGTTATTAATTCCTATGACATGGTAGTTACAGTGTTAAAATAAATAATTGCTAACTTGGTTGTTCTAGCGTTAAAATGTCAAGGCACCAGCCCTTCATTTTTGCTTCGTACAAGCGTCAAATAGTTAAAAAGAATGGAATTGATTCCAATCGAAGGTGAAAAAAAAAAAAAAATTGGAAAAAGGGTGCAATAACTTTTCGTGTCAAACGTTCGTTTCCAATAAAATAGGAAAAAGCGAGCGATTTTCCAGCACGATTTATCGAATGCCGGAATTGACGAAGAAATTTTGACGAAACCCCCGTCTACGGGGAATAAAAATTGAAAAACGAGACGATCGAAGTCCGGGAACGACGTTTCAAGAGCACTGACCTGCGAAGGGGTACCCCGGCTCTGGTCGCACGGCCGGAAGTGGTCAGGTGCGATTCAGCGGGTTCCGTGGCATCCGGTTGGGAAAACGAGACACTTCCGGGACGTCTGAATGCGCTGGGAAGGGAAACCGGAAGCGACAGCGGAACGGCGAGGCTGCTTTTGAAACCAAAACCGCGGAACCCCTGTCGCGAAAACGCGGGAAAGTAATCGATAATGTTCGATCACTGTGAAAGAAATATGAACCTTTTTTTAATTTTCAATAATTTCAATAAATACTTCGACCTTACTATCCCTCTTGGATCAATATGACCCAGAATAAATATTTTAATTAAGTCAAATTATAATAAATCAAAATGTCAATTTTCAAACGACGAATTGTTCTTTGCACCCTTTTTCTATCTTACTCTCGATGATTAAATTAAAATGACTACAGGTCATTCGGGCATCATGGTCGTTGTCGAGGTCATGGTCGTCATCATTTTCGAGGTCGTGGACAGAGGCGATCATCGTTTCATGGCCCAGCCGATGGTATAGTTGCGAGGTGCTCTTCCCATGCGTTGTAGACGACCTGTGGAAAAAAGTCGCCCATCGACGGCCTCGTGTGAGAACACATGCATAGATCGCAATTAGGCAATCACTGGATCAATACGCTAATCGATCGATCGGATGACTGACGATAACAATGGTGTTAATCTTCAAAATTAAATAAAAATGCAAATTTCTCAAACTTTTAATGGGAAGAAATTAGCAGCTGATTTTTGCTTCAATCTCCTCCCTTAATTACTAATTAATCTCATTACAAATCAATAATAATAAATTATACATAATAAGGTGTAGTACATATATTGCATTGGTCATTAATAATAATAAATCCTTCTACTAATTATTTCAAAATACCCTAAATTATAAATAAAAACTGTAACTACCTGCATTTAATAATAAATCAAAAATTTAATAAATCATAAATGAAAACTGTGATGGTTCAAAAGAAAACGGCATTTCAAATTCTCAATAGAGCACCAAGTACCTATACAGAAACAGATTCCCGTCTGATCTAAAATTAACCATACACGGAGATCATTAGGGTATTCGCTAAATCGTGAGATTCAACTGGCAAACATCAGCGAACACGAGCGTGTAATGAATGATTTACATTCGAGACATAGTCGTCTCGACGCCGTTCACCCTCGATCGTGGATCACTGGGATATAAATGGATCCTGAAGAGAGGATGAAAGATCAAAGGGGTGGCACACAGTCAAAGCATGGTACGTTAAAAAATAAAAAAGAAAGAAAAGCGTGAGTAGAGGAAAATGTCGGCCGACATTTCACGTCGGGAGTATCTTTCGAAAGGATAATACACCGTGTGTAGTATTCTCTTTCATTCTGAACCGACGCAACTCGTAAAGTTCGAGTAATTAACGCAGGCGTCGAGGGGCGAAATGGGGTTGCTTTCAACGTCGCTTCGGGTTGGATGGTTTAAGAAAGAGAGCGAGGTTAAGTGCTTTAACTTCGCGAGGAAAATAAATTTGTCTAAAAATGTAGGGGTGAAGGGGGATGGAAAAATATTGATACATGTTTAAATGGCAAATTATAAGGGATGATTAGGACCTTTTATATAAATTTTAGAAATTCTCTTTAAATGCTTTTAAAATACTCTATTTTGTATCAATGGATTAAAATAAAAGATTAATATGTTAATAAACAAAATTATGTTTTTTAATATCTACCCTTCAAATGGGGTAGTTTTGTACAGTACCGAGCATGATAGGCTTCCCCAGGGAAAATGATATAACATCCCCCTCCCGGTCTCCGATCCATCCCCGGCGGCGGTCCCGAGGAGACTGACAATGGAAGGGAGAAGAACCTATATTTATAGCTCTATCACGGACCCCGTTTACGCGGGAAATTTTGAATTAACATTTAATTTGTTATTCGTTCTTTTTAGTTAAATCCTAAATTTTACAATATTTAATACATTAGATAAAGTAAATATGTTATAAATTTACCTATTTATTAAAATTATTATTTCTGAATAGATATATACAAAATAGTTTCTCTTACTTTTCAAAAAATTTCGATGAAGCTATAGGTACCTATCGTCGGTACGTCGATGAGGAGTAATTTTTTTGTTCTCTACAAATCATGAAAGATCGTGAACGAGCACCGTATGGAAAACTTTCGTTGGAAATCAGATTTATTGGCTCGCCGTAATTTTTTTGCAGAATAGCCGCGGCTGTGTCTGCCAGCAAGAGATAAATGAAACGCAGCCACGAAAAGTTCCGCGATTGGAACGGCACGTTGAATTTTGTCAAAAAATATTTCGGCTATCGATCGAGTATATCGAATGATAGTTAAATCATGAAATTGCAATTTAATCATCATTGTTTCAATTCCATTAAAATAAAGGAGAATATCTTAAAATTATAAATAGACAGAAAACTATGCTTTTATTTAAAATGTATTATTTTTCAATTAAATTAAAATCAATTCAAGAAGAAAGGATAGTAATAAAATTAGTTGAAATATTAAAATAAGATAAAGGAGAATAACTTTCTTTGTAATAAATAAATTTTCTTTGAGATATACATTTTTTCAAACAATGACACCTACTTGATTAGCCCATTTCATACCTCGTCTATGATTCTATTATCTGACATTTGTCACCCACTACTGTCATTTCACCCGAGCAGAACTGTCGAGGATAATAATAAAAAGGGATGAGAAATCGTGAGTATGTTTTAAAAACGAGAGAGAGAAGAGGAAAGGCTCGTTTCACGGGACATTAAATTCCGACGGGTTGGCTACTTGTGGAGAAAGAAAGATGGAATATTCTTAAAAGGTTGTTGTGTCGGGAAAACGAACCTTGGAAACGGACAAAGAGAAAATGGACGGGCAAACTGAAGCATCCCACTGAAGAGGGTAAATCCTGGCGACGTGTCAATCGAGTGTGAAACGTTCGACTTGGTGCTTTCGAAGTTTCTTTCCTCTTCTCGTTTCCATTATATCACGGGGAAACGTCATTGCAGAGATTTTCGGATCGCTCGTTTCTTCTATGACGATCCAACACTGCTTCCGCTGTTTCCACCGTCCATTTCCTTTCAAGGAAATCGTCTTTTGACTAGCCATCATTTCAAAGACAACGAAATTTATATTCTTCTATAACACGATCTATATTAAAATTATTCTAATTTGCAAAATTTGCATAACTAATATTTGCAGTTTATTTAGACCAAAATTGCAGAAAAATAAAAATAAGTAATCATTCTTAATAATTTATTTATTAATTGAATAATCAGTGTAGGTATGTAATAAATTTTAATTGGGACTCATAATTATTAATTAGTAAATTATGAAATCTGGAAAGATTCTAGTGTCAAGTGCACAGAGTTTCTGGAAACGAAGATATTGATATCAGTCATACTGTTATTCTGATATGTATATCTAATTCCATCTGTGTTCTAAATGTGCCTGACACCGAACACGAGACTGAAAGACATCGTTTCAACTCGGTGTGGGAAGTTTCAACAAGCCAGACAAGTTTCAAAGTTGGAGGAAGAAAAGACCGACAGGGATGTCTAACAATGGCCACGTGCTAAATGCGTTTATCTTTCTTATAAATGACACAGCTACTCTTAATCATTCAAATAAAATGAACAACAATCAACAACTAAATCGAATTTATCAATTAAAAAATTTTTCAATAATTACCATTGCTCTTTGTATTTAAATAATAAAGTATTTTTGAAAATTTACTAAAATTCCATACTGCAGTTCCAAAAGAAAGAATCAAAAATCAAATTTAACAAATCTAGAATCGTTTTATCTAAAAATCTCTACAATTTTCCAAACTCTCTATCAATAGTATACAGAAACGGTAACGTTTTAAATAATCAATAATAATTATTTACCGGGAAACTGCATTCGATCGCGCAAACAATCCGCGCAAATAATTGCGAACGAACAGAGAAACGAAGAGAAAAGTCGAAATTTCCAACGATGAATGGATCGGTCTGATAGAGAGAAATCGACTTTAATATCCAGAGGGGGGTAAAAAAGTGGTGGAGGAGGGAGAAGGAAGGCGATCGTATCGATGATAACATAAAATCCAAAATAGATGAGATGAAATGGTGGACGTTTGCCTGGCTGAGGACAAAAACAAGGGGAATGGAAAGGTAAAGAGAGAAGCTTGATGAAGAAAAAATTGAGCCGTTTGCTAGGAAAAGTAATTGGACCTTCAATTGCCGAATAAATTGGTTCGAATTTCTATCGTTTACCCTCTCGCCCCTATTTCCACCGAGTTCACGTTTATCCTGGCAATTTTACAGAACAAAGTAGCACACTGTGCATCAATCACGAATTTTCATCCCCCTTTTACGTGTATTTCCGGTTTGCATGAGAATGGAACCGGATATGATTCATATCTGACCGAATAATTTAGTATAGTTAATATGTAGGGTAAGGTACACTAATTTTGGCAATGTATCAATTATTATTTTCGAAAGACTTAAGAAACGGGTATTAAAATATATGAATAATTTTTTTAATGTTTAAATAGAACACATAATATAATGCTGAAAATAAAATAAAAATATTTAAACAATCTAATAACTTAAGCTACCTGAAACCAAATTACAAACTTATGTGATCAACAAGAAGAGCTCGAATTCGCTTTCCAATTATTTTCTCTATGCAAAACACGTATGATATCGCATACGCTCTCATATTGAAAATAATTCTCTCGCGAGATCCGTTCCGCATTCTAAAATTTAATGAGAAGTTGAGCAGAGATATCGAGGAGGGACAAATTAGTTGTACGACTGAATACAAATGGCTTCATTTGCAAAGGAAAGAACAGAGGGAATTTAGTGGACAAACACATTGGATTAGTCTATTACTGTTCTGTTCCATGATTTTAATTTTGATTTAATCTGATCGAATGATTCGATCATTATTAATTCTCTAATCATTTTTAATAGATATTGGAAGTCAAAAATTTCTGAAACTTTTGACAATTTTGAGAGATTCTATATTCTTTGAAATTTAATTACCTGATGGAACGGAAAATCATTGAAAAATCACACAATTTAGCTGGCTTGGATAATACACAACTTGAGAAAAATTTAATTAATTTATAGTTGGTTCTTTCGTTTGAGATAAAAGATATCACCGGTGCTTTAATTTAATACCATTGTCATCCGATCGTTCGTTTAGCGTTTATGCAATTTTTTATTTGTTTTAACACATTCCGTGTCGTGTGGTTCATAAATGGACTAAAATAAACAAATATATTTGATTTATATTTTAAACTAAAGAAATAAAAAAAACAGAATGAAGAATTTCGATTTAATTTGTTTTTAAACTTTCGTCAAAAATTTTAATTTATTCTATAAACCACAGCAGGGAAGGTGATAATTACCATAGATTAGAATGTTGATTATATTAAAAATACACATTCAACTTAATTACCACTTATCATAATTGTTAAACACTTTTACCATTTCATAAATATTCTACTGCAAAATTATAATTACTATTAAATAATTAAATTAATATCTACATTAATATGCATTCACAATGCTGGTGCATAAAACCTTCAAGGTGCAATAGAAATACCTTCTCCTTATTATCTTCAACCAAATTGATATTAATCTTGTTAATTTATATAAGAAATTCATTTTTTTTATTATACAAAAGACAAAACCAGTTTGCCATAATTTAAGTATAATTATTCTTGATTTTCCAGTTGGATTAAGATAATAGGAAAATATCTAAAAATAAATACAAATATAATAAATTATAAAAAATCAATTTCTACAAACTGCAACGTTGAAAAAGAAAAAAATACATTCGAAACACATTTCGGTACCAGGTGTGCGAAACATTTGTTGGAAAAAAGAAAGAAAGAAGTGTCATGCAATACAATTTTCACCAGATTTCGACGAACTACAAATCCTAGTTTTGTGAGTGACAAAAAACAATAGTTTTAAAACAATCGTGCTCCCTTGTTTCTGGTCGAGGAACACGAATGTTTGCAAATTCAAAAATAGAAATGAATTCCACAAAACTTGAGGGGTGATTCTATTCTCTCAGAGTGAACAGCAATTCTACAAAATTTTCTAAAAATCCGAATTTGGTAGAGACTTTCCTTGTGGGTCAAAACGACCCTATAATTATTCTGCAAGGACGAAAGTCTTAAATAATATGATTTTAATAATTTTTCAAAGCATTGAAATGTAAAAATCTTAGAATAAAAGATGAAAATTGCTGGAGAATTGTGTAATCGTTATGGAAATATAGTTTTATCGTGTCTACTTCAAATCACCATAAAATTTCTGAAACGTCCCAAGATATCTCTAAATGAAATTCAGACATCAAAATTCGGGTCGTTAGATTAAAGTAAATTACAGGAAGGCTAGTTTGCAACGGAGTGAACAGCTCATTAGCAAGCGTCGCGCGTGTGAAACTTGTAACAGCGGAAAGCTTTAAAAAAGTCACGGTGGATAGGTTTAAACGCACTATTATATGGTGTAACACGTGGCCCCCGTCGCGATACAACTTGCATGCGTTTAACTTCCTCGTTGTAATCTCGACATCGACCGGTTAACTTGGTAGCACGCACGCTGATAAAAAGCATTCTACACTGCCAACCGAAAGTTCATAATCACCGTGCCAATTATAGGCTGTAGAAATCTTTTAAAATGATAAATGAAAATATTATTCGAGGATAAGTACCCAAATGGCAGTGTTTCCTATCCTTAACTTACGATCTAACGTCCTTATATTACTATGTGATTTGTGACAACCTAATTGCTTTCGAAAAGTTGTACAAATTCTATCATTTTACTATTTTATTATTTTACTATTGTTCTATTTTACTATTTACCACCTTTTATTATTCTACTATTAATGACGGCTGCTTAGAAATAGATTAGAGTCCAACAGGTGAATTTCTCCAACTTCGATAACAAGTCAATTTATTAAATTTTTACAAGAGAAATTAAGCGTACTAGCAACAAGCCTGCTATCTTACATCTCTCATTCTAACGACCCATGCCAGTACTCTAATGGTCGAGGGTGAAATTTCTAATCGCTCTACTGAAATATTTCTAAGGATACCTACTGTTTAAGATAAACGAAACAAAAGGACAATATACGGGCAGAATATTTATTAATTTGCGCTAAAGTACAGATAAATCATGCAATACGAACAATATATACAGCATGGCGGTGCTGGTTGGAATTCGTAAAAAAAAGAAAAGGAACTTCTTCCTGTAACGTGTCACACGTTTTTCAATTGAAACATAAACGCCGGAGAAGGACAATGATTTATTCTTTCACAGTGTCATTTTATAATTATACAATAAAATGGACGAGAAGCAAAAAGCTTTATTTTTCCCTCGAGAACGTCCGTTTTTTGTCGATCCTGGGACTCGGTTAAGTGAAATATTAATTCATCATAAAACGAGAACGTCGCGAGCGATGCGTGAAGAAAAATTCAGTGGTGCTTCTTTAATAATCTTATATGTATATATATATATGTATATGTATATGTACGTATGTATATAACATATGGTAAATAAATATATAATATATGTACAAATAATACCTAGGCGAACGCCACTTCGCGTTAAGATGTCGCCACCCCGAGCCGGGACTGCCGTACTGCAACAGACACCCGAAACATTGTCATCATATGTGTTCAGCAAAAATCAATGATCATCTTTATCGATCGTTTTGCATGCCGATAAAGAGTATGCAATGATAAATTGACACACGACACGCAAATTATTTGTATCTGGTAATTGAAGAAATTTAATTTCCAAATGAAAAAATGGATGATTCATATTACAGAGGTTTCATAGAAAAAATTTTTTTTTCACACCGTAAATATAGAAATATTTAAATTGTTTCAACCCCTGTTTTCTACACGTTTTTATTCCATTAGATACGTTGCACAGAGAAAATTTCATTGTCCAAATGAAAATGAGACAATTTATTCCGAGAACGTTAATGTACTACCTAATTACCTTCATCGTAAAATTAAAAAAATGACTGCACCCATCATTTAATATACTTGTATTATTTTTAATACTGCTTCCACTACAATTTTTTCTAATAATTTATTTTAATATTCTTCTTCTTGTTGCTAAATAAAAATGAAAAGTATTATATGAAATAGAATATATTTTTTCAATTTTATAAAACGAATATCAATTGGAATAACTATTTCATACATTCAATAGTTCATACTATGTACAATACCTATATTTCTACCACTAGTTTTCAGATTCATTGAATAGAGCTCTTCACTGGGATGTACTTCAACGATTTTCAACATTCACCCAGTCGAACATTAATCCACTCGTAAATCGAGCTCGCATTTCAGCTACCCCTTTTCATACCGCAGAATTAAAACACTCGTGGTTCATTTCTTTTATAAACCTCGAAAATACTTTTCCCAGCGTCGAGCTAGAATTATTACTTTTATCTAAACGATGCATGACCCAATTAATGAAGTGATTAAAATATAATATTCTAAAAATCTTCTAATAATATATTAAGTTGAAAATTAAATTCACAACTTATTCAAAAATCCCCCAAAATAACAATAGTCACAGTCTCAGTCGAAGTGCAATTCTGCTGAGAAAATTACAATTTCCATGGTGGACAACAGAAATGGTTAAACTACAACGTAAAATATAACCAGACAGTGCCAAGGGCTTGTTGCTTTTTAATTGTCTTTCTGTTCGATCGATATCGAATTGTCTTGCTATCGCCACCCTTTCACCCTGATACATCCATCACGTTCTCGAATTAAACGAGTTTTAAACAAAACATCCGTTCCAATTTTTATGGAAAACAATCTCCACGATTTTTCTCTGTGCAACGTGTTTTCTCTGGAACAAGGTATCGTTGAGTTGAACTGAAGAACTTAATTTAAATAATTAATTAAGAATCTTTAAAAGGGGAAATCGAAGCATTACATTGAAAAATATAGTATATTATTATAGACAAGGCTATTTCTCTTGTGGGAGTCGACGTATTAATGATTGATTAAGAAGGGAGAACTAATTTAACCCCATCCCTTATGATTCTTTCTGTTCGTGACCGAAGGGGCTGTAATTGTATAGATAATGAATCGTTTGCGTGTAGAAATACATCTTCTTTTTCCTAAAATATTATTCTCAAAACAGAGTTATAAATTATAAAAGAATTGCCAATTTCTACTTCCTTATATCTTCAAAAAAAAAGTCAAAATTGTAAAATAAAAAATTTTTTAACCCTTTATAGGCTTGGAAATCAAAATCATTATTAATAATTTTATATAAAATTATCCACAGTTCAACTCTCAGATAACTGGAAAGTGGAAAAGAAGCTCCATCAATAATTTTTTAAATTTAATTTCTTCATTCCATTAGTAGCTGAAAATATATCAAATTCCAAGACAATATTATCATAAACACATTAATTAGAAACTCGATATCATTCTGTTATTTTCACTGCACTCAACGTATCGTAATTAGTGAAATGAATTAGTAGAAACACGTGGATGCACGTCAGAATGAAAACAAGGGAAAGGAAGAGTCGAATTACGTTAAAACACACTCGTCACAGCAATCTTTCAACCTGGTAATAACACGTTATGAAACGCCACAGGCACTTGGCTGCAAATTTCCTCGATGTGAATATTGAACGCCCTCGAAATCGCTGCGTTCGACGTTTAAAGCGTTAAATTCGAGCCGTTCGGTGGTAATAGGACCGATCCAACGACAATTTTTATTCCATCCCGTTTAATCTTATCCCGATATATGTCAATTTTCAAACAAATTGCAGACAAATCTGGCTACCATTTACATCACTTAATGTCACTACTTGTTGACACTCTAAATGGCATGATAAATCTATTGGAAATCACATCGATTACTCCATTTTGTTCATTTTTCATCTTTACTTTCGAAACTTCAATAATTTAAAATATAAATTTACCTTCATTCAAATTATTAGGTCAAAATCTTAATTTTGACGATATTAATCAACGGAAATTGAAAAAAGAAGAAATTAAACTCGTGGCAGGTTGTTAGACGAAAACAATGTCCAACGCAAACTTAGAAAATTATTCGCGTGACGAGAAGAAATTACCAGCATATTCCTACGTAAACGGCTAATCTGAACTGTAAAGCGGCGATCTGGCTGCGAACTTTCCGCCAAACGACCAGCTAATTGAGTTGTACCTTCATGCGAGGGAAAAACTTTATTGGGAACAGTTCGCGGTTGATTCAACCAAGCAGTTTCAACGCGTTCACGTCAGATTGAACTATGCTATTGGATATAAGTACGAGAACAGGTGTCTTCTAGTTATAGCATTAAGTATCGTTTTACGGAAATTTTGACTATTAATCGGATAAGAATAATCCAGTTTTATTGGGTGGATTTTATGTACAAGATCTGGCTATCATTATGGTGTAATAGCGAAAGAGACAATTCTTTCTAAAAAATTTTATTTTTATTAATTCTGAAACATTTCATGAATTAAAAATTCAACATTTATAATATGAAAATATATTTTTAAAATTTCACACCCAATGTACTATTTAATTTTTTAATTCAGAATTATCCCCTCCAAGATTACATTATAATTACAGCCAGATCCTATATTTATCGGACCAGTATTATCTGCAGCTTTAGAGAACCATACACAGGGTGTTTTATTAAAAACAAAAAAAATTTCTAAAATCTTTAGAACCTATTTCTGATTACTTTTTTAAGATACAAATACCTCTATAGATTTTATAAAATTCTATCAAGATTAACTTAAGATAAAAAATTGTGAATAATCAACCCAAAAGAAAGTATTACATCTTCAGCATCTTTCTTATAAAAATAAATTTAAGTCTCTTAAAATCCCATTTAAGTCTCTCCAGTGAAAACCACGTCCACTAAAGAAACAGTTTCTACCGAGAAGCTTAATGCAAGTACGAACCAAAGTAAACTGGGTCATGAAAAATGTCCAAACATTCTCTTATTAGTTTTGTAATGTCAAAGGGATTGGATGTTGAATAACATTGAGGAAGATTGCTTTAGAGACACCCTGTATACTGGATCCCATTGCTGGTTCACGTCTGCACGCGTTAAACCGCTCGCTGCTCGACGTTTAACGTCGAGAGGACGTCACGCAAAGAGAGCCGAGCTTCTGGAGGCTTGCGTGGAAATTAACGCGTCACGACTTCATCGGGTTTGATAGGATGTACCTAAAGCCTGCACCGACGGCCGTCGGCCAGAGTTAAAGCTCGTCTACAAACACCATTCACGGTTAACGACGTGTCAGATCAAGCGCGAAACTCTGTCTTCAACTTTGATTACAGACTGTATGATCTATTTTAAATGGAACGCCGAAAGGTAAAACGGTGGAAAAATTCTGCAATTTTTATTGGATTTCTCTTTATAAAATAAGGAATCTCTTTTTTTTAAATTATCAATACTGAATTAGGTTCTTACATATCAAATTGCAATTTTGGAATAACAGGATTTGATGACATAAAAGTATCTGAAAATGGCACTTATGAAACTTAGAATTTGGGGAAAATTATTATATAAATGTTTCATTAATATTTTTAACAAAAGATAACTGATTCTTCGTTAGAAACAATAAATCAATCAATTTATAGCATACTATTGTTCAGTAACAAATTTTTAATAATCTATGACTTAAAATGGTAATGAATTTTTCTCATGATAATTTAATATTTAAGCTACTTTTACAGAGATTATTGTTTTTGAAATTTCCATCGTTTATCCTTTCATTTTTCACGAATAAGGAATTTTAAAACAACATGAGATCATATTGTAATTCAAAAGTCTAAATGAAGACACGCAAAAACAGTCTGCAATTTTATCAATAAGCAAGGTTAATGAAGCTGCAGAAGTAAGCTAAGCTGCAAGAAAATCCACAATAATTATCACTCTGCTGATCTACTACCATTCGATGGGTAGCTACCTTTCATTGAATCAAGGCACGTTTCCTGTGGTTCATGTTAAAGAATCGGAACTGTAGCCGCAGCGTTAGGTCTTTCCGTACTGTTGGGAAAGAATAGAGGTGTCGTAAGTATACGTCGCAGCTTTGACTCGTAGAGTATCTGTTCGGTGGCTGATAAAATTGTGAAGAAAATCGACTTCATATTGCTATTAAGGTAAATGATTATGAAACCATCGTTTCGAAGTCTCTTTGACCATTTAAGGTAGAAGTTGAATGCTATTATCACCATAATTAACGAGTATATGCGACGAGCATTTACGTAACAATAAGCAAATTGTACTATTTTACAAGGAAAAGTATTGGTTGACACTGGGACTCCTGGAAATATGTACAACCCGAGATATGTGTACTTACAGTGTATCAAAACAGTTTTCGTACATCTCGTTACAATTTAATGTCGTATAATTTCTACATGAAAAATAATTAATGAGTAATATTTACACGATTTTTCAACAAATGAAAGAAATGTACACCCTGGTGCAACGTAGACTTTTCGATTTGGGAGGACCCAGGGGAGAGACTTGGGAGAGACTAGGGAGAGCCTAACACAGTACATAGAACTCTAATTATTCATTATTTTCTCTGCCAAAATTATACAACATTAATTAGCTCCGATATATTAGAACTTGTATGTGTTCGTATTAATTGTCTTTTATTCCGTGACTGTAATTGTGTCTAATACTGTCCGGCTTAGCATTAGAAAATATGAAAGAGCAGCATGACAGCAACTTAAAATAAAATTGTGTGAAAGATGCATAATGTTAGTGATAATGGAGATACATAATTATGATACTAGTATGATATTAATAGATCATAATAATCTGGTCTATGGCAACTTCTTCCAGTTAATAATTAATAATTAATTTGATTAATTTTTAGTATCTTTAATTGCTATAAATCCTACCAAGTTAATTTTAATTAATATTTATTTATTTCGGGTACTCTAATTAGTATTAACTCTATTAATAAATGATACTTGTATTATAATTACTATACTATCAAGACAATTTCTAAACAGAGATCTACCGATAGAAAATGCAAATAAAAGGGAAACAATCGTAAAAGAAACAAATTAATCTACATTCTATAGGTATCATTTTATCTCAACATTCATTGACACTGGGAATCATTAAGAGAATTATGCATGGACTAAATAAATCAGACAAATTTTCAAGACCGACAGGGAGTATTTTATCCATAAATCTACTCACTGCGCTACTATGCGCTACGCTGTATCTCTTAAGCCACCTATGGGGATAGCGAAATTTTTTGCGGGTGTACCACTCTCTATCTTAGCGCGTGCCACACGACAGACTAGTAAAACAAATAATAAGTTAATACCTACTAAATAATATACTAACCACTCTAAGGATTAAATTTTTAGTCCAATGCAGGCGTTTCATGTATGAAGATGATCAAATAAAAAGATAAAAGGCTTGCATTGGAGCGTATGAAAAGTTAAGCGTGAACATGCTGAAGGGTGAAGAAAGATTTTGACCTAGAATTTATTGTTGAATAATCGTGAATTTAAAATAAGTATCGTATCGTAAGGTACTTTAGTAAAAAGCAATTTCGAGTGCCTTCTGTACATATAAGCATGAATCATTAATTGTATCTGCTTGTTTGCTGATTATCAATGTTAAATAAGCCATAAGCAATAATTGATTTAAACAGAGTCGTACCGAATGAAATACTTATGTACTTAAACCAGCGGTTCTGTACTTGGCTGAAAATTGAAAACAGATCTGTCATTTACACTAGTCGGTAGATTTTCTAGGTACAACATCTTTAATTGCACGAAACTTAAATTGTAGCAGAGATGAGTGTGGTTGCAACTGTTAGAATAATATGAGGAAAGTGGTGATTGCAAATGGGGTGCACTCTAGGGTTTCATAATTACCTCTATGCCACTAGCTAGAAAAATAATAAATGAATTTAGCAGGATGAATGGATGAATGATGATTGTGCTAACAAAGCGCTATGTAAGACTACGAAGCAGATTCGGAAGAGTTAGAAGCATTTCGTCATATAATCGCCATGGTCCCCCATACAATTGCTCCCATCTAAACGAGAAATGAATAGTTTAAATATCTACAATGTACATTAAAAAAATAATGTATCTGTATAGAATATACAGTGATTCACATGTGACACATATCTCTGGATAAATGTTACGAATAATCTGTAAGAATTTCAGGATTTGAAAATGAAAATGTACCTGGAAAGAAAGATTAATTGGCTAACCTAAAAAGTACAGATACCTCTTATGTAACTATACGATAGTAAGAATACAAATATATCAGAGATAAGAGGTGATTGATAGATGCCAATTAAATGATAAGTGATTGATTTATCTTAAGTACTAGTTTGTATATGTGTGTTTCCATGAAAGTGATAAATTTTCCATTAACCTTCTTCGAAAATATAAACTAGACGTATATTTAAACGCGTCTAGAAACGTGTTGTTAGTGTAATATTCCTACTTACTCCTATCAATGTTGCGTTGCAGATGTGCAGCCACACGATGTCTAGCATCGTTGAACTCCAAATGTAGACCAAGTCGTAGCAACGTTGGGTTTTCTTCTACCAATTGCGTAATTTCCATTTCAATTTTATTTCCCAACACCTGTGACCTCTACATATAATCACACACCATTAGTAACCAGAAAAATCTGACTCCTAAATAGGCGAATTTTAATTATACTTTACCTGATTCGAACATCGAAATTCTTCTATTGATTTCGTTTTAAGTAACGCCCTGATGAGCCTCACTATCACAGATGGGCTTATAAAGTTTGTTTCCACACTAAACATTGAAATTTCAGTATATAATTATTTCTATGAATGATTACGATAAAATAGCTACGGATTATTATACTGACTTGAGTACTCTGAGAGTAGAATTCTTCTCTAAGGCTTCTGCCAACCTTTGTGCAGTCTTATCGGTGAGTCCCACGTTCGTTAAACTTAAAGATTCGAGATGTGTATTCATCTCTAGTCCTTCGAATAACTGAACGAATTTTTCGTCGGATATATTCTTAAAACATAATACAGTAACATTGAATATTTATTAATATTATATCTATGTGCAGTTCAAGCTGTTGATAAGTGTTTCATATACCTACTTTAATGTTATTCCAATTTAATTCAGTCAACGAGGCATCATCTTCTCGAACTTGTTTGATAGTGGCATCGATGTCGGTATCATTAGGTGGTTCCATTGGGTAAGGTTTTGGTTGACTAGCTTTCGTAATTCCATCCCAACCCAGACCAACTGGCTGGCCAGAATTTAATAGAGAGGCATGATACTGGTCTTGATTCATCATAGAATGGAACCCAAGAATAGCTGTGGCAAAAAAATACAGTATTAATATTATGTTCATCATATGGAGGACTATAGTTATGTGATTTTTCAATGGATAATAATTACCAGCAAGATCAATGATTTCTTCTTGAGTAGCATTTGACAGAGCTTGCTCATATTCTTCTCCAAGATCAATAGCAATTTGCTCTTCTGCTTCTTTTTCTTTGACTGTTTCTTGAGGAGGTGGAACCCACTAAAATAGCAATAATGTATATAAATGCTGTACATTTTATATGTATCATAAATGAAATTTATATTATTAAAACATACCTTCTTGCCTCTAATAACACCAGGTACATAAGGCTTTAATTCTGGTATGTCTGGTGTCTCTAAAGCCTGTTTATTGATGTGTTCAATTAGTTTCTTACGGTTTAGTGGTCCTGTTGGACTCTTGTCACATTCGTAACTACAACGTTGTGATGGTGGCATAAAGCTGTCCTACAAGCACATTACAAAATCCACATGTACTAAGCCCTGTTTATTTATTCTGATAAATCATACTCATAATGAGTTCCTTACATCAGGATCCACTTCCTTGGCTAACATATTAATCTCCTCTGGAGTAAGTTGTGCCAATAATTCATCCACATCAACATCATCGTATTCACTCAAATCCTTGCCATACAACTTAGCTGCAGTAGTCATGGTGGTTGTTTTGGTTGATGCAGAAGTCTGGAAAGGTTCCCACGGTTCTTGGTCAACTACTGAGTATCTCCGTGACATTTTGTTAGTCAAACTGTTAGATCAATTAACTGATACTCTAAATATGATACTAGATAATCTTTCTCTAACAAGATTAGACTATGTTAATTCTCTAACAAATTTGCATAACAAAAGAACACGGTATATGCTACAATATTAATTCTTTCTGATATTTTTATAAAGGACTAGTACACTCTCCTTGAACGAAGGTAAACGAATACACGTGAAATTCGATCGGATAATTGAAACAAATGAAGGTGAAGACAGTGATATGAAATGACTATCGGAAACTAAACCAAGCACAATGAATTCTATTTTTTCGAGATCAAATCAATGGTGTGGCATTTCGTCACGCTTCACGTTCATCACTAAGGCTTAGAGTATATGCGGACAGTGTTCCTAATCGAATGATCAGCAAATCGACAAGTTGTATTTAAATTCGGCAACTGTCCAATGCGGCTGATGCCCTTTGGCCCACATAATTCGGGATCGATTTTCATTGACAACTCATCTGCCAAATCGGCAACCCACGCTAAACAGGAATTCGCGAGTAACTCTAATATATGAGCGTATCACTCAAAACTTACTCCTGACAAACTGTCCACGTCAGTGGGACAAACTGATAATGATACTTCAATGAGAAATTTAGGTAAACCGCTCGCAATCAAATACCTCACCCACTTCTCACGACAGACGCACACTTTACTGACCAGTCCACCGATTGCGGCTGATTGCGGCAGCGCCCTTTGACGCTTATACCTTATTCGAACAAAGAATGGATCAAATTGGAGGTTGAGTTAACCAAAACTTTTCTAAATTTTTAAATAAGTTTCATAACGCCTATTGAATATGGGACAGGATTCGAGGTGTTCATTTATTTATTCAATATTCATAATGATTTATAAGGGCGGGAAAGTTTTCATTCAGATATCATTGGGACAGTTTGACATCAACCTTGCGCGGAGTTAGGTTGAATGAGGTATACACGGACCTAACCCATGGAGAAAGTTTCTGCGCATCTAGCGTCGCGCAGGTATTGACGTTGATGTAGCACCAATGGCGGCTGTTCAAAACACTTCCATATACGTAGAAGATTGGCAAGTTGCGAAAAGTTAAATATCAGTCTCTTCTCCGGGTTTACATCAACTCTACTGACGCTTTCAAAGTTACCAAACAACATAAAACCCTTTCATACTTTATACCACAATCGGTACGCTATACCATATAAAAATGATGCAATGTTGATCATTAAAGTTCTGACGGCAGTTTTACAATTGAAACGCGGCTGGCCACAATTCTTGGCTAAAACATGTTCTAAATAATGAAAAACAAAACCAGGAAACAAACAAATTGTATTCGGACCTTTAGCCAGCTCAAGATAATTAGCTCGATAAATCAATTCTGTCCAAGGTCGCGGAAGGACCGGCAATCGGCATAAACGGAAGAAGAGGGAGAAATTTGTGCGTCAGGTGGGAGTTAGGGTAGAGCATTGCGCAGGTCTGATGTTCGCGGTCAGAAAAGACAGAGCGGACATCTCTGTCGTTCCTCGGTCGTGCAGTTTTGATTAGAGAGCGTCTATCGCGCGTTTGTAGCGCTTGTAGCGGCGAAAGCCTCAAAAATAGCTGAAGCCTCCTCGCAGGCTGGCACACTCCCAACGGTCTATACTTGGACATCCCCGCGCCATGATTATTTATAGTGAGCGCGAGCGCGGCCACTGGCCTTCTCGCGAACTAACTAGCCGCCTCCAAAGACGATCCGTCGCCCGTGACCTAGGCCCGCATTAATAACGATTATATCTCCCCGCTCAAGAATACGGGAACTTAATCTCTCAATGCTGCTACTTCTACTTTCGATGCGGGTGTTTTATTCCATCGTATGGCTTCGGAATGAATTTACGAGGAAAAAATTCAATAGGCTTTGATGGATAGATGGGAGAGGGCAGTAGTCGTTTTTGAATCTTAGCGCGCGTGACCAATCGACTCATCGCGAGAATTTTCGATACATTCAAATTAAAAGTATTGGCGCGCTGGACAAATTAATTGATTATTTTATATTAAATTTCATTATACTGTGGATGTAATATTATTGTAAAAGAATTAGAAGTTCTCTTAGAAGTTAAATAATGACTACAATCAGAAAATTAATTTCCTGGAATAGAAGATACACTCATACCGAAGGGAAAAAATTTTCTAATCACTTTCTGTACATAATAACTTCAGAATTATGCAACTTTAAAGATGATGTATAGACCACATTCTTCCCTTAACATGATGCAATAGAAAATAAACATTCCATTAAACGTTCTCGACTCTTTCAATGCAAATATTACCTGTTACCTAAACACGATTCAATGAAGAACACCAATTAGCACATTAATTACTACAGCACTAATTATCAAATGTATTTAATCTAACACCTCAGTTTACCTTATCATATTCCTGATGTAATTATTTCTTTTTAATTTTTACATTATTTATCTAAGTTAAATTCTTAGTACAATTAGTTCCCATGCCGGTGAAGGTGTTAAAGTCTTTATCAGCTAAGATATCGTGGTCCCATCGCACTTGGAATGAAACTTTCAGTGTTCCAAATAGCAGTCGTACGCTCTCGCTGCTCGTGAGAAATCTGGCTGCTAATTAATTTGTACGTCTTCTTGGCAGGTTTATTTCTGCGTGACCGAATGAAAACCTCTCGGCTTACTTTCACGGCCACGAAAAAAAAAGGCGAATCGTTTTCCGTCTAGACATATCATAGCTGCAATAATTCCACGCTATGTAACGGTCTCGTTGAAACTCCGTGAAAGCTCTCGGAAAAAACACAACAAAAGATACAAAGAAAAACAGTGTAGAATGGTTCTTTCGCGAATACCAAGAGAAAAATCGACCTCTTTCACACAGGATTTGGATGCTACCGTTAGTGTTTCTAATAATAACAGAAACAAAGCGAGTCTCTTGACGCGAGTCCAGAAAACTGTACAATAGAAAAATTGAACGCTCCAACGATTTATCAAATAGCTAAATTCGGATGGCCAATGTCGAGACGTGACCATAGTTATCACTATTTACAGAGTTATATAAATAAAATACAGGAAGAAATAAATAATAAAAAATAATTGAATCATATTTTCAAAGTGCAACACAATATTAAAATAAAAAAGAGGTAATTAGTATTAATAAATTAGTAATTAACAGAATGAATCCGTAACAAATACCATGATGAAGATAATTAAATTTTCAAATTTTTGTCAAAACTTAGGACATTAAAACGTTCTTTCGAAAATTGACAATTAAGGAAAATTCTCACCCTCATTAACCCCCTTTCCCAATCACTAATAAGCCTACGCGGGCGAACTCGTTCCACCCTCATTATCAATTTCGACACTTCTATTCTCCATCGACGAACTACTTTTCCTGTACGAGGCTGGTGTTTCGAAATTGGGCCGAATTAACCGTCAATAATTAAATTTTCGAAGAAGAACCCTGCTTCTGGGAGCCGGCGAAGCGCTAATGGGCTGTGCACGCAATTAGGGCCTCGTGTTTCCTCAAAAGCGCCTAACATCGCCACAAAGCCGGCGTTTCAGCCAGACGAACCGGGATTCGCGGTGTATCGTGCATAAAGGAATTCGAAAAGAAGCTGCACTCGGTTTCCAGGGAACGCTTTTGATACATTTTCGACTGATTAATTAACGAAGCTCCGGCAGAGAAGAGACGCAAATGACCTGCTGCGTTAATTGACGGCACCGTTTTCACCGACTGTCGCTCACGTACGAAGCGTGTTTCTTTTCAAGTGAAAACGGTAAGTTAAAGTGAAACCATATCATTCGTAACATATTTATTCTTCGTTTAGTTCGAGTATAATGATGACTGGTATAATGACCAACAATATTTTTTAACAGCATTAATTTATCCCGGTATAATTTTTTAGCAGATGTTAATATGATTCTACGAAATCATCAACTGATAATTGTGTTAAAGGGCAGATAAATGGTGGTATAAAAGAGAGGGCAGTGATATAGAAATTCTGATATAATTTCATGACATAAAAGTATCACAAAATACCACTTATGATACATTAATTTAAAGCTTAAAAGTTGTAGAAAGTGACTGTATAACGTTTCGTTGATTTGTCATTAATACAAACCATGAATTAATCACTTTATGGTTTCGAATGCAACAACCGGTATGTAAATTGTCACAGTAACGTGATAAAAGTGACGAACTAGTTCTTGATCTCGTAATTATTTTCAAACACGGACAGTTACTCCGTTATGGGAAAGGAACAGGGAAAGAGTCGAGTGTCCGATTTCTACGAACGGAAATTCGAGTCGATCACCAGCCACGTAACACGCGGAGAAACTGTAACAACCGTATATTGCAAGTGATTCTGTACGAAATAACGAATTAACATTAACCATGAAAGTGTAATTATGTTCCTAGGAATAGCGTAGAAATGTTCCTAAAAGAGAAACACTCCAATTTCCCAGCATCCGATTTTGCAATATTCAATTTTCACGTTTCCAATTTTCTAGCATCCCATTTTCGATTTTCCAACTTTCTAACTTTCCAATTTTCAATTCTCAAATTTCTAATTTCCAAAGTTCAAATTTTCATCTCTAAAATTCCTGATTTCCAAATTTTTAATTTCAAGCTTTCTGTCTATAATATTTTTCTATTTTCTTTTTAATTATTCAAGCATATCTAATTAGCGATACCCCCATGACATTCAAACAGTTAATATCATAATTTTATGCAATCATTACACGGACAATTTTACAAAGTGCCTGATATTTGCAATAATCAATCTCTCGATATAAGATTTTTTTTCCAATTAAATAAACGAGTTTTTCTGTCACAACATAGCAGATTAACTTGTAGATAGGTTTGCGCGTGGGTGGCATATAATCGTCGATGATCGTTTCCCAAGGATATCATTGCTCCTCAATAACGCATAATAATAATATTTAGAAGGTC